TTATATATAAATTCTATTAAATACTTATCGTTATCTTTTATTAGTTTAGAAATAGAATATATAGAGATATCTAGATCTTCTAGTCTTTATTTATATAATTTTAATAATAATATATAAAAATTAGAGTAAATTTAATAAGTAAACGATAGCTATAGCCAGTACGCTTATATTTTAATATATTTCTAAATATAAAATAAACTAATTAGCTTATTAGAAAGCTTTTTATTTAATCTCTTTTATTTTAAATTCTTTATAGAAAATATAATAAGATTATTGCGATTAAATTTTTATAATTTATAATTCTTATTATAAGACTTCAACTACGTTTTCTATACGCTTTATTAATATCTCATAAACTCTTATTAAATTATATCGATTTCTTTAATACGTTTTTTCGCTATAAATACTTTTCTTTTAATAGCGCTATTTTTAGCGATTAATTTAAGTTCTAATTAATATTTATATATAGCGAAAAATAGATTATAATTAATTATTTTATACTCGCTTTAATAATACGTAAATTCCGCGATTAATAAAAGCTTTATTTAATTATCTTATTACTCTAAATAATATATTTTTAAATAGTATTCTAAAGTCTAATTTTATCGCTTTATCTATTTATCGATTTATAAATAAAAGATAATATTTAATTTATATTTTATATATAATTAATAATAAATTTCTAATTAAAACGTATTTATAAAAATAGATTTTCGATTTATAACGATATCTTCTAATATTCTATATCGAAGAATAATTTTCTTTATAAATAACTCTTCTAATTATATAGCGTTAATTATTTTATTAATAAATATATATCTTAATATTTTAATATATTAATTAACTATTATAAGAATTAAGTTATAAACGCGATCTTTATATTTACTAAAAGAATAGTTTATAATAAAATCTATTATAACTTTCTTTTATAATCTTAGTAGTAAAGAAAATATATCTAGTTTATTATAGAAATAGTAATATTCTATCTTTATATATTAATAGATATTATATATATTAATATACTTCTTAATATCTACGCGAATACTATTTTAGTAATATTTTCTAGTTATTATAATAGCGTTTTAATATCTCTTCTCGTATTAAGTCTTCTTCGAAGATATATAATCTATTATTATATCTTAATAGTCTCTAACTATCTTAAACTTAATTATCGACGCTTTATATTCGCTAACTCGATATTTTATTAGCTTTACGCTATTTAATAAAAGCGTTCTCTTATTAAAATACCTTTATAAGTTTATAAATAAACTTATTATTTATATCATATATCGTTTTTCTAGTTATTAATACTTCGATAATTAAATATAAAATAATTTTTTTATAATTAGTAGTTTTAATAATAGAGTTAAGTCGCTTATCGACTATATTATAAATATATTAAATAAATATCTTACTTAAACTCTCTCTTATTAAAAATTAAATTTTTTTAAATTTTAAAGAATATGTTATATTTAAGTAGGTTTCTTATATTATAATAATTATTAAATTCTTAAATATTATCTTTTTTATAAATACTTCTTCTCGAGAATTAATATCTAAGAAACTCTTATTTATACTTAGATTATTTAATATAATAAGATATTTACTATTAGAATTATATTTATTATATATATAATCTATATTATCTCTATAAGCTATCTTAATAATAGCTAAAATAAAAATTAAAAAGCTTTTAATTTTAATTAATTTTTATTATAATATAAAAAAGAACTTATTAATTAATTTATTTTCGTCTTTATAATTAAAACGTCTTAAAATATATTAGTAGAATTCATCTTATTTAATTTATGCGAAATTGAGAAATTATATAAAAAGAATTTTATTATTTAGCGAGCTTATCTACTATTTAGTATTAATTATTTTATAAAGTACTTTAAATTATTATAATTAATAAGAATTTTAATAAAATAAAAACTTCTCTTTAGATAATAACGCTAATATTTAAATATTATAATAATCGCGAGAAGTTTTTAATTATATATTTTATAATTATATTTCGCGTTAATTATCTTTTTTAAATAAAAAGCGATTAGATATTATTATTTATTCGTATATAGCTAAGTTAGTATACTCGTTAAAGCGAATAATAAAGTATTAATTTCGATTTAAATTAAAAGCTAAGAGTTAAAATACTTAAGAAGAGACGCGATTATAAAAGCGTCTTTTAGTTTTTTAAATATATACTCTATAATATCGAGCTATAGAAATAATTCTCACTTAATATTTTTTTGACTTCTCTTAAAAAGTTCTATTAAAGAGTTTATAATTTAAAAATAGTAATAAATAAATCTTCGATAGAAATTTATAAACTCTAGAAAAACTTATATATTATAATAGTCTTTTAATTTTAATTACTTTTAAATTATAATTACTCTACGTTTATCTATAATAATATTAATAATAAATATTATAAAGTCGAGAAATTTTGCTTTAATAATAAAAAGCTTATATTTTTCTAAATTTATATAAAGGTTATATTATCTAAATTAATTAAGTACTTACTTTAGATAATCTTAAATACTTCTTCTTTATTTTAAAATATATAAAAATATATATAAAACTAGTTAATTAGCTTAATTAAAGTTTTATTAATATAAATCTAAAAGATTATTAATGCGTTAATTAAGCTAAATAGTATTATTAGATATTTAAAGTATCTATAATATATATAAAACGCTATCTTTTATTTATCGCTCTTATAAATTTATATATAATAATAAGTATTCTTTAAATTAAATTTAATATATCGCTTAGAATTATTTAGACGATTGAGTATCTCGCTAATTAAGAATAATAAATATCGATTTTTAATAATTATCTTATTTAATCTATAATAATTAATATATAAATATAAACCTTTATTCATTTTTAAAATAAATAGAATTAAGGCTTCTATTAAACTTATAAACTATCTTATTTAACTTTTCGCTAGAGCTTCGTTAAAATAAGTTTTTAATTTTATTAATTTTATATTAAATAAGTTATATAGCGAGCTTAATAATAATTTCGCTATAGTTTTAATAGTATAATCGCGACTCTTATATAATAATAATCGATTTACTTCTTTTAATAAGAATATATCTTTATATTCTTTTAACTTATTAAAAAATTTAAAAATAACCTCTACGCTATCTATATAAATATTTTATATTTTAATTATAATAATTTTATATTTCTTATTTATAATTATTATTTTAACTATAATTAATATATAGATAGTCTTATATCTCTATAAAGTATTCGCGAATTATTATAATATTAAAATCTCGAGTAATTACTTTTCGACGTTAAAACGCTAGATTCGATCTTTTATATTTATTTTAATTCGCTTATTAATTAAGATTAAAAGACTTAAAACTATCGAGAGATCTTTCTTATTAATAGAATAGAAAATATATTTATAGCGCTTAATACGCTTTTAATTATTTTATAAATAATAGATTATCGAGTAGATATTATAGTAATAAGTTAATTTTCTATTTATCTATATAGATTTTAATAAAGAATTATTAATCTTTATTAGATTCTATTTAATCGTAAAACGCTAGTTTATTATATTTATCTCTATATTATTATCGAAATAAATTTTAATAAGAGTCTATAACTCGTCTTAATTATTTAAAAATATTTTTTTTTTATAGATTAACGATAAAACGAATATTACTTCTATTTTTATTCTCGTTATTACGAAGCTTTTAACGAGAATTTCTTTTTTCACGCTAAGTCGATAGCGTAAAGCTTATAATTATTAATTAAATTAATAGATATCTTATTAAGATTTTTTATTTTTTATTTTTTCGATTTAATATAAATATTAATATAATATTCTTTTTCTTCGTAATTATAGTATTTCACATTATTTAAATAAGACTTATTATTTTTAAATTTATTCTTAAACTTATAATCTCGAGATCGTTTATCTTTTAAATCGAAGTCGTTTTATCTTCGCGATAATTATAATTTCTTATATTAAGAATTTTAATTTTCTCGCTATTAACTCTCTTATAAATTAGAAATATTATTTACTTTATATTCTCTAAAAGATTTTATTTTTAATTATTATTTTTTAAGTATATTATAAGTATTAAAAGTTTATCTCGCTTAATTAATACGATTTAAATATTAATTAATTAATAATAAAGATTTATATAAAGCTTTATAAATAAGTAATATACTTATTAATTCTTAGTATAAGAATTTATTTAGACTTTTAGTAATCGAAGATAATTATCGAATTAATATATAATTTAATTTTAATTTTAATTAATATTTATATACGCTTAAACGACGTTAAGTTCGCGATTTATTAAGTCTTTAATTTAATTAATAGAAAACTAATAAACTTCTATTATATATAGTTATAATTTGAAAATCTATTCTTCTTATTAGCTTATAATTCTTTCTAATTATTATTAAAAGATTAACGAATTTAAAGAATTTAATTCTTTTCGATAAGAAAGTTTTCTAAGATTAGACGAAACGTCTCGTTTATCTCTTATATTAGAGCTTAATATTTATAAATACTTTTTTTATAATAGATTAATAATTTCTCTAATTAAATCGTTTTTCGAGGTCGCTAGATAATATTATTATATTGGAGATTAATATTATTTATAATTCTCTTCGTTTCTAAAGTTGCTAATAATCTTAATCTATTATCGCCGCTATTACGACTACGATTTTGTAAGGGTAGAAGTACTCGGAGCGAACTGATAGGCTCGCTTGCGTCGCTTGCCAGGCTGCAAGCTACGCAGCTAGGGCGAGTATCCAACATGCTTGGCAAAGTCTTAAATACTTGCGAGTCCCCTTTCCCTTCTTCTTTCTTTAGTTATTAGTTCATCTAGCAACTGATCTATCTATTCTATCAACTACGCATCCAGACCTCGTGATTGCATAGCTGCTACGCAGTTCCATTGAAAGAGGCCTTGCTACCTTACAGTTCTAATAACTCCGTTTGCACGGAGCTGCCCAGTTTAGCTATGGCAAGTAACTCGCGAGCCGGTTCTATTGACTTGCGAAGCAGAAACGTCCCATTACGACCAACTGGCGACGTTTCCAACCCAGCAGGCGACTCTCGTCAGAACACGCCTGCTACGCAACCAAGCGATCATGATGCCAATCCTGACATCCGTGGGAATTCTGACAACACTGTCGGCGGAAACAATGACCGCCGGAGCGTCGCACCTGACCACCCTCCACCTGCAGGCGAAGACCCTCGCTTCGCAGGCTTGACTCAAGTCCAACGCTATCGACTCCTAGAGCTTGATGCTGAGAAGCAGCTAGTCGTCGAAAAACTCAAGCTGACCGAAATGCAGAATGTGCGAGGACATCGCCGCGAGCATAGCGATGATCACTACCGTGATTCGAGCCGCAAGAAGGCAAGCGTCATTAAGGTGCCTGACACGCAGCACCTCAACAACTATAACTCGACAGTCATGTTTCTTTAAGACTGCGACGATTTCATCGCCTCGGCGCCTCGCATCGATTTTCGCACAGACGAAGAAAAGACTCGCTGGGCTTCAGCCCTCTTGGTGGATGCTAAGAAGCAGACCTGGAGGAATGCCAGAGATGCGATACTGCATGACACCGGGGAACCTACCTGGGAGGAATACAAGGGGTGGTGCTTAAACCAAGTTCGCAACCCAGCCGTCAAGTCTCATGACGTAGGACGCCAGTTGGCCAAAGCGGTTATGAGAGACGCGCAGTCGGTAGCCAGCTTCAATGACTACCTCACCATGCTCTGGTCGCAGCGAGACCGCTATGTGATTAATCTGAAACGCATAGAAGGCCTACGAGATAGAGTGGTAGAGAAAATTCCTCTGAAAGTTATAAAGGAGGCTACTTAATCTACTACTTATACTATACTACTATAATAGTATTAGAGTATAGAGCAAAGGCTATAAAAAACGAAAGAGCTCTCTACTCTAGATAAGACTCGCTTTAGCGATAAGATAAGTAATCAGGGGAGCAGTGGTCAACAGTATGCTAAGCCTAAGGGACAGCATACGAAGGGCCAACAAGATCAAAAGAAGAGTTCGTCCTCGTCGGCGCCGTAAGGCCGAAAGCCTGAGCGGACCAAACCCGAAGGTGGCGACTCTCGTACCAAGCCTAAGACACCCCTTGTTGAGATATGATGCTATGATTGCGAGCAGCTGGGGCATTATAAGAATTCGTTTGAATGTCTAAACTACGTTGCGGGCAACGAAGCACGTAATTATGGATCGGGCAAGGGAAAAGGTAAAGCCTGATACTTGCCGCTACAGCATTAGGTACGCTATCAACCAAGCGGCGACCTCGCTCTCTATTGTTAAGAGGCGAAATTATTATATCAAATGGAAAGCGTGAGATGACTGCCCTAGTAGATACCGGTGGCGAGGAAATCTTTGTGTCGCAATCTTTTATCAAAGAGACGCAGATTCCTAAACCTGAACACGCGCCAACAATGGTGCGTGCCATCGACGGTCATCAAATACCCTCGTATGGGAAGCATGATCTGGTCTTTGGCCTCGCGGACAGTCGAGGAAAAAAGCAAGAGCAAACCTTGAAGGCGTATGCTGTGGATATGCGAGGATACGACCTTATTCTTAGTTTCCCTTGGATCTATGATGTCGATCCGGATATCCATTGGCGCGAGCAGTTCTGGACCTACCGCGATTTTCCTGTGAGCGATGAGAAGCAAGCAGATATCGCAATGGTGGACGTGGAGCACTTTGCGTCATTGGCCAATGCAGCAGTTACGCATGGCCTGGGACAAGCGTTTATCGCACTCTTATATCAGATTCTATCTGAAAGCAGTGAAGATAATTGCGATGAAGCTATGCGGTGTGGTGCCACGTAGCTAGATGACCCTGGCGTGCCTGAACAACTTGAGGACCTATTAGAAGTCTTTTCAGAAGAGCTATCTAATAGTCTCAACACGTACGACCAGGTTGAACACCCTATCGACTTGCAACCTGGGAAGCTACCCAGAAGCGGTCCGATTTACAATATGTCGTATGACGAACTCGCAGCGATCAGGGACTACCTGGATACTGCGCTTGAGAGGAAGTGGATTCGACCCTTAACCAGTTAGATTGGCTCGCCAGTGCTGTTTGTCAAGAAACCAGACGGCTCGCTGCGACTGTGTGTTGACTACCGAGGGCTCAACGAGGTAACTATCAAGAATAATTACCCGTTGCCACTGCTCTCAGAGACCTTGGAAAGGTTCGCACATGCGAAGCACTTTATCAAGGTTGACATTCGCAATGCGTATTATAGGATACGAGTGCGAAAGGGAGACGAGTGGAAAACCGCCTTCCGAACTCGCTACGGCCAGTTCGAATACCAAGTGATGCCTTTTAGCCTCGCAAATGCCCCCGCAACCTTTCAAGCTTACGTGAATAAAGCACTCAAGCCATACATCGATGTCTTCTGCGTGGTGTACTTGGATGATGTGCTGATCTATTCCGAAACGGAAGAGTTGCATTGGGAGCATGTGCGCAAAGTGCTGCGCGCACTGTTGGAGCATCGACTCTATGCGAAGTTATCGAAATGTGCTTTCAATCGCAATGAGGTTACCTTTCTGGGGTTCTTAGTAAACCAGCGCGGCATCCAAATGGAGCCATCGCGCATTAAGGCCATCACTGAGTGGCCAGAACCAGAGTCTGCTAAGGACATCTTGGTCTTTCTAGGGTTCGCAGGCTTCTACCGGCGGTTCATGCGAGGCTTTTCGCAGATAGCTGCGCCTTTGACGGACCTGACCCGAGGAGCAAAGAAAGGCGAGACCAGACCACCCTTCGTGTTCAATGAGGAAGCACGTGAGGCTTTCAAGACACTCAAGCGAGTGTTTACCACCGCACCTGTGCTGGAACACTACAATTGGGAAGCACCGCTCATCATGGAGACCGATGCTTCCAACGCAGGTGCAGGTGGTGTGCTCAGCCAACTGAGCGGGGACGGGTAATGGCACCCCATTGCTTTTTCCAGCTACAAATTCAAAGGCGCTGAGTCTCGCTGGGACACCCATGACAAGGAGCTCTATGCGATTGTGCTAGGCTTTAAGAATTGGAGGCATTACTTGCAAGGTAGCAAGCACCCCATTCGTGTGATCTTAGATCACAACAACTTGCGTTATTTTATGACGACAAAAGAGCTCAATGCGAAGTAGATTCGCTGGGCTGAGAAATTAGCTGCATTTGACTTTACCATCGAATATCGCAAGGGAAAACTCAACCCTGCGGATGTATCGTTAAGAAGGTCTAATATTGTTAAACCGGATGGTAGCGAGGACAACAATGATGATTTCCTTTCTACCTTGCGAAACAAGCTTCGTAATCAGGAATACCAACCTGATCTGCAGGAACGCAATGGCGTACCTGCTACAGTTAAACTTGCAGCGTTGACGGAGCAACTGGACGGTATTACCGTCGCAGATACCCAAGTCACTGACTTGGATGAGAGAGTGCTCGACAGACGGACACGCATTCTAGATGCTGCGATGTCGTCCCGACTTCTGGTTCACCAGGTTTTGGAGTCGGAGAGGTCCTATTTGAAGCTGCGGGAACCGATGGTAGCATGGCTACTCAAATTGCAACGCAAGGACGCTTTCGTTGCGAATGAGGAGTGGCGCCAAAGGTACGCTGCTAAACAGGATGAGCTTTCGAAATGGGGAGTCGGTGAAGATGGACTGCTACGTCGTGGCCTCGCAGTCTACGTTCCTAACGATCCTGCTACGAAGGAAGAGATCCTTCGCATGAATCATGATGAACCTGGTGCTGGGCACTTCGCCCGCAAGCGCACTGAGGAGGGCATCAGGTCCAAGTACTACTCGACAGGTATGATAAGCGACATAGCAGAGTATGTTCGCACTTGCCCCGATTGCCAAAGGGTGCGAGTTCATCATCACAAGCCGTATGGCGAGCTGGCGTCGATCCCCCCAGGTGGCGTGGATCCATTTCACACTGTGACACTGGATTTCATCACGGACCTACCACCTGCAAGGGATCCGTACACTGGCAAGACTTGCGATGCTGTTTTGGTCTTGGTAGACAAGTTAACCAAGCATGCAACGTACGTAGCGACCACTAAGGATCTGAAGGCTGATGGCCTTGCTGACATCTTGTGGCGGGAGTTTGTATCACTGCGCGGCATGATGCGCAACTTGATTTCGGATCGAGGCTCCCTGTTCATAAGCAAGTTCTGGATAACGCTATGTTGGCACCTGGGTGCGAAGCGCAGGCTAAGCACTGCGTTCCATCTTCAGACCGATGGTCAGACTGAGAGGCAAAACCAGGTACTGGAACACTACCTGCGGGTGTACTGCAACTACAAGCAGGACAACTGGCCTGAAATCTTGCCGATGGCTGCGTTCGCATATAACAATAGCGTGCACGCAAGCACTAGCAAGACCCCGCAAGATCTGCTGATGGGATACACAGCAGACTTAGGAAATGCTCCTGAGGGCAGGATCTTAAGGGGGAAGCACCGCTTGCTACAGAGCGAGCAGAATGGTTGCGAGAGATAAGATCGCACCTGAAAGGATTGTGGGAGCGAGCGTCGAAGTAGCAAGCAAAGTACTACAATAGCAACCACAGGGCTATAACCTTCAAGGAAGGAGACAAAGTACTATTGCGAAGCTTGAATATACGCACCTTGCGACCAAAGAAGAAACTTGATCACAGGCAGCTTGGACCTTTTGAAGTGCTGGAGAAAATAGACACGTAGGCTTACAAGCTAGACCTCCCTGCTAGATATGGAAGAATCCATCCTATATTTCATGTATCGCTACTAGAGCCGTGGCACTCGCGTAGTAATGATCCGGAGTCGTAAGTAGTCTTGATTGATGAAGAAGAAGAGTGGGAGGTCAACAAGGTGCTAGACAAAAGAGTTCGCAAGGGCGAGACTAAGTACCTTATTGACTGGAAAGACTCCCCACCTTACGAAGCTTCGTGGGAATCAATAGAGTACCTCGAAAATGCTAAAGGCGTAATCAAGGACTTCGAGCAAGTAAAGGAGTCACACAAACCAGTACCCAAGACAAAGCTAAAGGCGCAATCGTCAAGGGGGGTCAAGAAGCGAGGAAGACCGCGGAAGCAGTAGTAGTATGGGAGCCCCGAAGGGCGAATGAGTTGTGGCTAAAAGGCCCAGCGAAAACAGCTAAAATGCCCGCAGGCCGATCCTAAAGCGCCGAGGCGCCACGCACCACAAGAAAAATGGCCACCAGGGCCGCACACAAGACCACCACTGCTTAGCATTAGCCTACCTATTATCTCATGCTGGGAAGTAACTGCTTACCCAGAAGACCCACCAGATAGCGGGAAGACCCAGCACGGGGGGCAGCAAGAGGAGCAGCCAGAGGAGGGGCGAAGACGGCGGCGTTACGCCGAAGTTCCTCGGCGCGGTGAGCCGCTACGCATGTTAGCTACGCACCCTAGCACATGCCAGTAGGATTCATACCGGTCCAGCGGCGAAGGGCAGCACGAACATCCCCGCCAGTGCGGGCCGCAGCGAAGACATCACCCTGGTAGACGGGGACCGAGTCTACCACGCACACATGACCCCCGCGGGAGCACCGCCCGCACTTACGCTGGCGCGAGCCAGCAGGAGGCGCGGTGCAAACCGCACGAGGGTCACGTGCGAGAGCACGCACACAACGGCAGCAAAAGGGGACTAGCACACGTTAGCGCAACCTCTTAGTTATCTGGCATCTCTTCCACTCACGGTCGATATCCGGAGCACGGATGGGGGGAGCAGCAACGGGAGCAGCGACGGGAGCGGCGACGGGAGCAGCGACGAGGGGGGCTGACAGCCTTCTTAGCCAAGCACGTCTTCAAAACGGATGTGAATGCCTACCAGCAACAGCGCGAGGCGCAGGGACTACGACGGCCACAAGCACTTGGTAACCCGAAGGGCCACGAGAGCGGAGGTTTAATACCACTGTCGACATGTCAGCATGCTCCTTATGCTGTCCACAAAGCATCGCAAAGCATCCTTCGAGGTGCTTGTTGTGTGTGAAGTTGATCTGAGTGACTGCAACCTCATTCAACTATCACCTCAACCGATGCATATACTATGCTGTTGCGATGATGCGCAGCTCGCTATCGCGATACTGCGATGAGAACGGACGAAGGCAAGATAGCAGACATGAAGAAGGACTGGGCACTTACTTGTGATGGCGTCGGCGTTGATATTGTTGCTAAGAAGAACAAAAGTCAGACTGGAAGTAAGTCTTTTGTACTCACTAGCGCGACTTTCAACGATCACCACAATAGGATCACCACGATCACAAAGTGACAACACAACAATAGCGCATGGCAATGGCGATAATAGCACACCGCAATGGGGTAGCACTACGCCCATGTCCTATTGACCAAAACAACAATGCGCACAGCGATGCTGTCGCGATTCAGCATGTAAACATGACAACATGCTCAAGAAGACCTCAGGGCACACAGTACGGATACGCCATTGCAGCACACGTCAGTTCAGGCTACGTCCAAGCTGGCAATGGGCAGCGCAGGTGGTACTGGCAAGTCCGCACGCATTCAATTACAAGGCGCAATGATGATGAGGTTCAGGGGCTGAACCTCCTGAGGGGGGATGCAGTTGTAAGGGTGGAAGTACTCGGAGCGAACTGATAGGCTCGCTTGCGTCGCTTGCCAGGCTGCAAGCTACGCAGCTAGGGCGAGTATCCAACATGCTTGGCAAAGTCTTAAATACTTGCGAGTCCCCTTTCCCCTTCTTCTTTCTTTAGTTATTAGTTCATCTAGCAACTGATCTATCTATTCTATCAACTACGCATCTAGACCTCGTGATTGTATAGCTGCTACGCAGTTCCATTAAAAGAGGCCTTACTACCTC